GAGCTGTCCTCACAGAAAACTCGAGAAAACTGCATCATTGGACCGTTGGACTGTTCAACCGAAAACCGCCTTCAAAGAAAAGAGAAAAAAGCTGATATTTTTTGAGGTGAGTGTCATATTTATTGGTATTTGCAAACGTTGTACCGTGTTTTGCAACTTTAATGTTAAGGTTAGAGTCATGCTAACATTAGCTAACTGCAAAGCCTGACCAGCCGTATTGGCTAATTTAAAGTGTCCCTATTATGTATTTTTGAAAATTAACTTTCATGCAGTGTGTAACGCAGCTGAAAAAAGCTGAAAGTGACTGAAAACATCATGCAAAGGTTTGAATCTGAAAGTGCACCATGTATAAAGTTATTGTCTCTCTAAAGAAAGAGTTGACTTTGAATCATTGAAACAAAATTTTTTTTTTTTAATATTGACTTCAACATGAAGCATTAGCATATTGCCCGCCCACTTCCCAGCAAACATGCCCGCGCGGACCCACTGCGGGTTTTCTGTGGGACAGTGTGGGCAGAGCAAACCCACACTAAACCCACGTGTGCCCCATGTGGGTTAGCCCATGTGGGGCTCACAGCAGTTTTGCCCTTTGTGGGTCCTATGTGGGTTTTGTGTGGGCAAACCCGCAGTGGGCTTGCCCACACTAAACCCAGTCGGGGCCCCCTGTGGGTTAGCCCATGCAGGCCCACAGCGGATTTCATAATCGCAAAGCCTGCGATATGGACGCGATATTACTCTGTTCCAGAGCATATGCATGACTGCCAGCCTTGAGTTGCAGGCTTACTAACCAATAGAGTGAGCGCACCTTCGTTGTCTACAATCAGCACTGCTCTAACCAACTGCGTAAACACCCACCATTACAAAAAAAAAACAACGGAATGCGGGACGGGAGAGAGACAGAGTGGGATTATGGTTACAGGATCAGAGGATGACACCATTCCTCTGTTATGGTCCAGATTTACTCTCACACAATCAAGCTGTTAATTAAACTGTCTGTACCACACACACCAGACATCAGTGTTATTGAAATCTTATCCCTTCCTCAGTTTTGATGCTGTAGTTACTCCAAGACTCCAGATTAAACTCTCTTTAACCTCCACATCCCAGCAGTGTGTTCCTGAGTTAAGACCCTTCGAACCAAGAACACAGGAAAAGCAGTCAAATCGCTCTGGATTATCAGGAAGAGGTTGTTTGTTAATGCTGTTTCAGACAGGACGAGATGTGGATTCGCAGTGTTTGGATCCAGAATCACAGGAGCTGATGAGACACAATCAACAGATGCTGTTATTCTGATGTTCATATAATGATCACGAGTGAACAGATGTTCTGCAGTTAGACTCACTGTTCTGGACGATGTCCTGCATCTTCATCCAGACTCTGAATGGCAGCTTGCCCAACCCTGCACTGGCCCTTTATGGGCCCACTTAGGGCTAGCCTAAGGGCCCCCAGTGGGCTGCCAGCACAGGACCTCTGAGATTTTTCTCATTGGCAAAACGTTTGCCCCTTAGTGCTGGACCTGCACGTGCAGCCCACACTTAGCCCACACTACTAATCTACAACAGGGGTGCCCAACATGGTCCTGATCAAACACAACTGAACCAACTAATTAGGATCTGAAGGAGCACTTGATAATTACAAACAGGTTTGTTTAATCAGGGTTGGAACTGAACTCTGTAGGAAGGTAGATCTCAGGAACAGGATGCACCCCTGATCTATAACAATACATCCGTTCCATTTTTAAATACTTTCAGCTACTATAAATTAAGTATTTGGGAAAAACAGTTATTACACTCCTGAAATGGATGCAGTCACCACATAACTAATGTCTATATTGTCAAAAATGTACAGTAGTCAAAAGGGATTTCAAATCAATAGATTTATTAAATAAATCTGTCTAAATGTGTCTTGGGGAGGGGAGGTATCCAAAGCACATCAACTTGTCACTGGGGTTCCTCAGGGATCAGTTCTTGGACCCCTCCTCTTCTCCATGTACACAACATCACTGGGTCCCATCATACAAGCACATGGCTTCTCCTACCATTGCTATGCTGATGACACACAGCTCTATCTCTCGTTTCAACCAGATGATCCAACGGTAGCTGCACGGATCTCAGGCTGCCTGGCAGACATCTCGGCATGGATGAAAGAATATCACTTACAGCTCAACCTGGCAAAGACTGAGCTTCTTGTCTTCCCTGCCACTCCAACTCTACAGTATGATTTTTCCATCCAGCTAGGTTCTTCTACAATTACCCCATCAACTTTGGTCAGAAATCTTGGTGTAACTTTTGATAACCAGTTGACCTTCAAAGACCACATTGCAAAGACCGCTCGATCTTGCAGGTTTGCATTGCACAACATCAGAAAGATCAGGTCCTTTCTAACGGAGCATGCTGCACAACTTCTTGTCCAGGCCCTTGTCATCTCTAGGCTGGACTACTGCAATGCTCTTCTGGCTGGACTCCCATCAAGCACAATCAAACCTCTACAAATGATTCAGAATGCAGCGGCACGACTGGTCTTCAACGAGCCCAAAAGAGCCCATGTTACACCTCTCTTTATCTCCTTGCACTGGCTACCGGTTGCGGCCCGAATCAAGTTCAAGACATTGATGCTTGCATATAGAACAGCCACAGACTCGGCACCCGCCTACTTCCACTCACTACTACGAATTTACATCCCCTCCAGAAGTCTGAGATCCGCTAGTGAGCGACGCCTCGTGGTACCATCACAGAGAGGCTCAAAATCACTTTCCAGAACATTCTCGTTCACCCCTCCTGGCTGGTGGAACGATCTTCCCACACCTATCCGGAATGCTGAATCCCTGACAATTTTCAAGCGACAGCTGAAAGCTCATCTCTTTCGAAGCTACTTGACTTCATCATAAAAAAAAAATCTCTCTTTATTTATTCCTTCTCTTTCTAGCTTGTACTTATTTGAACAATGTCTAAGAACTTGGTATTACAACCACTTCTTGTGTCTGTTTGCCTCTTTAAGAAGAATCGCTTTATGTATCCCCCAATTGTAAGTCGCTTTGGATAAAAGCGTCTGCTAAATGACTAAATGTAAATGTAAATGTAAGAGCCTTCGTCGCAGGCTAGCACGCCAAGCTAGCCTGTCAGGTCACGATCCCCTCATGTCACCTAGCCCCGTTCCAGCTGCCACTCCGCAGGTACCCATCCCTGTAGAGCTGCCCACCACGGCAGCTTTATCCTGGGGTGAACAGCTTGACGTTTGCGTCCCTCTGCCCAGTGTGCTCAGCACGGACGAGGAAGAGGACGCGCTTGATTTCGAGGAAGAGGGACAATCTGACTTTCTTCTCTCTGAAGAAGAGGAAGATTTTGAGGACTCCCATTTCCTCCCCCCTGCGCTCCCGGCACAACCCCTCGCCGTGGCGGGATCCACGGAAGATGCGGACGGGGCACCATCCCCTCTTCTCAGTGTTGATCTGCAAGATGTGTGCAAACGTGCTGCAGAGAAACTAAACATTCCGTAGCCGACCGTGGTAGCAGAGACTGTAAAGTCTCGCTACGAGGGCAAGAGGCTGCCGAGAGAGAAACGGGCAACACGGCAGCTCCTTCCTGTGTTTCCAGAGCTCCTGGAGGAGGTTGCGGTGACCTTGAAGAACAAACCGTTCACCAGCAAGATGCCCGTGCAGGGAGGATCCGCTCTCGATGTGGAGGGAATGGAGAAGGTAGGACTTCTCCGAATGCCCCCCATGGAGCCATTAGTTTCCGTGCACTTGCACCCAAAGCACACGGCGGCTGCAGATCCGATGTTGCCATCCAAAGTGGATCGTTTCCAGTCAAGCATGACGGAACGCGCTTATAAACAGACGGAACGTGCTCTCTCTGTCAGGGCTCTGAACACTACCTCTTGGCTGACCGCGTACCAAGCGGAATTGCAGGACGAAGCGTCGACCATGCCAGGTCAGACACACTGGGAAAAGATCTGTGTCGTTCTCTGCATCTTCAGAGATGCGCGGTTCAAGCCGCGGGCAAGGCCATGGACACAATGGTCATTCAAGAGAGAGGACGTTGGCTTAACTTGGCAAATCTCTCTGACAGGGAAAACGAAGCCATCCTGGACGCGCCGGTGGTCGCAGAGGGCATTTTTGGCTCGGTTCTGACACTGATGCAAAAGAGATGTGAGGAAAAGAAGAGGGAGGATGAGGCTTTGCAGCTCTGTATGCCTAGAAAGGCACAGACTGCATCCCCTCCACCACCTCGGCAGACCTTTGCACAAGTTATGGCCTGCCAACCCCCCAGCTATCACATTCCTAGACGGCAGAGACCGAACGTGAATGCAGCAGGAACCAAGGAAGAACAAAACCTCCGGCAGTCCAGCCAGCTCCTCAACCTCATCCTCAGGGAGCGAGGAGGAAGAAGAAGGCAGTTTGATGGGGTCTTCCCCTTGTTCGCTAGCTTCCAACCCTCAGATGTTCAGCGTTCGACAAGGGACGAGTTTCGAAGTTC